TTGCTTGGGAGGCACTTCAAAGTCTATTATGACCATGAAACATTACGATGGTTAAAGACACAGGCCAAGATGACACCTAAGCTTACTAGGTGGGCCACAGAGATAGATCAGTACGACTTTGAGCTCAAGCCTGTCAAAGGGAAGTACAACGTAGTTGCGGATGCTCTGAGTAGAAGAGCTGATTATTTTGGGGCAATAGTACATTATCTCGATATAGGAAAGGATCTGCAGCAGCAGGTCAGAGAAGTCTACGCGCAGGACCCTATCTATGGTGAGCTCCTTAAGAAAGTCAAAGAGGCCCCAGAGACCGAGCCGAACTACCGCACTACTGAAGGGTTACTCTTCGAGAAGACTAATGTCTTTGACAGACTGTGCATCCCCAATAGCGAAGAGATCCGTAGTCTAATTCTCGGGGAATGTCACGACACAGAGAGTCATTTCGGTTGGCAAAAGACTTTGGCCAATATGATGCGCGCGTATACCTGGCCAGGGATGAAGAATGACTGCGTAGAGTATGTTCGCAGTTGTAAGGTCTGCCAGCGTAACAAGAGTTCTACGCGAGCCCCGCTAGGTCTTCTCCGACCCTTGCCCATTCCGGATCAGCCGGGAGACTCGGTGTCAATAGATTTCATGGACACTCAAGTCAGGAGCAGGCATGGCAAGAGCCAAGTCATGGTCATAGTTGACCGCTTTAGCAAGTATGCAGTTTTTGTTCCTTTGCCTTCCGAGGCACGTACTGATTTAGTCATACAGAGGTTCTTTGACTGTTGGGTTAGTGAGAATGAAATCCCACTGTCTATAGTAAGCGATAGAGATAGTCGCTTTACTAGCCAGAACTGGCAAGAACTCATGGGAGTATATGGATCTAAGTTGTTGATGTCGTCCGGCCGCCATCCAGAGACTAACGGCCAAACAGAGCAAATGAACAAGATCCTACAGCAAGTTCTGCGCATGTATATTAGGCCAGACCAGATCAACTGGGATGAGATGTTGCCTAAAGTAGCTAGTGCGTACAATAACAGCGTGCATCTAGCCACCTGCCGCACTCCCAAGAACTGCACAAGTCCTTTAGACCGCGCAGACCGTTTGAGGGACTTAACCGGGATCAGATTCAGAGATTGCCGCCCGGGACCAGGGAGTTTGCTGTACAGCACGAAAAAGAACTAGCTACTGTTGTAGAAAACCTCAGGAAAGCCCAACATAGGATGATAGAACAAGCGAATAAACATCGTCGCCCCTCACAGTTTCAAGTAGGCGACTTAGTCTGGGTTAGTTCTAAAGAGTTTACACCTGAGGAGAACATCTCGCAGAAGTTACTGTCCACCTATAGAGGACCGTGGCCAGTCTTAGAAGTCAAGGGCGGCGAAGACGGACCGTCCTACACTATAGAACTCCCAGCACACCTCCACACTTACCYMGTTTTCCATGCATCAAAGTTATTACCTTGTCAAACAAGTGATCAGTTTCCATCCCGTAGATCAATGATCCCACCAGATATGGATGGAAGATATGACATTGATGGTATAGTGGCTGAAGATGTCTTCAGAACCGGAGGTAGGGGTCGTCCGCAGAAACAGTACAAGGTTCATTTTAGTTATCAAGAACCGGAAGACGACCGCCGGTTTACGAGATCTGAACTTCTAGACACAGCTCCCGATATAGTCCGGGCCTACGAGAGACAACAGCGAGGTAAAGGTCCTGCCTTGGATTGAAAATTTCTCGGAGGACCTTGAATCTAGGCCGGCGGGAGTAAAACGGTATTCACCAGTTCGAAGTAGCTGATGCAGATCCCAGGGCTCGATCCCTAGTTCCCCAACTTACCTGTGTACAATACCTGTGTCAACTCGAAGAATTGAACCTGCGACCTGTAGAACCGCCAGTGGTAAGTAGGTCTGTCGTAGGTC